TCGTATATTAGTAGAGTGGATGTGGAGGCCCACTGTAAGCAAATTACTCCTGGCTTCTGGTCCCTGCTACTCTCTAGTGAGAACTGAGAACTCAGGAAACTGTAAAGAATAGACCCAACCGCGTCGCCGCCCACTGTAGGAAGGGACAGGGGCTCTGTAAACAGAAGGCCCTATGTAGACAAATAAGTTGTATAAATGCGCTCAGACAAATAATGTCGGGTGCCGTCAGCTTGACACCCATCCTAACGCATGGGAGCAGCATCAAATCACATGTTTGAACGTTTGAAACCACGAAAAGCTTGCAAACGCGCGGCTAATGCGAGCCGACATACGCCGAATCGCGATTCCGGCCAAACATGGTCTCGGAAAGTAGGTCACAGGTCAAAGGTCATTTTGGGTCAAGGTCATCCAATTTTCAGGGTAGGTCTGACAATGCGAGGGTACTGAAAGTTTCGTCGCGATCGGCCGCTTTTTACGCGAGTTATTTGCGAAAAACCTTAGGGGGGGAGGTACATCAACCTCCCCCTGTGCCGGCGAGGGATAAGAAGATGTTTCGTCGCCCCCTTTAGGTAGAAGATGTTTTTTTTGTCACAATCCAGTTGTTTTTGCGTGTGTGAAGAAAATGCTGGTTTTCCTTACACACGCAGAAAGATGATAAATTTTCAAAAAAAAAAGATAACTTGTTGTTAGGATGAAGTGCATCATTCAAATTGTTTTGATGCATAATCAGATAGTAAAATAAAATAACTGGGTAAGTACTACCAAAATCTGTTTTTTGCTGCCTTAAAAATCACAAGAACGTTCTTGTCTGCACTCATAAAATGATTATTAAGTGAAAATGTTATAAAGCATTACTTACATAATACAAAATGCTTCCTCAGAAATTTAGGGGAAAGTGGGTGTATTGCGCCCTCCTAACCAATTGCGCCCACCAACATTCCCACGAATTCAATGGTGTTTATAATTTTGTGTTCGAAAACAATATTTTCACCACCTGATAGTTCATTTTATGGCCCAAGCTCTCCGACGAAGCCAATCAGCAGGGCTCAGTTACGACATCAAAGATATTACGGCGTTTTCTTAGCTTTTTTGCAGTATTTTGAACCGTTGGCTATAAAAATATGTGATACGTGTATGATTTTCAGAGTGATATTTAGAAAGAAAGCCCATTTTTTCATTATATTTCACTTAAACAGTAAACTTCCTTCAGCATATTTATGATAACTTCTACGCTTTTATTAAAAGTACCTCAATTCTAATTGCGCCCATGGCAATTGCGCCATGGGGGCGCAAATAGAATAATGGTGTAGCTATTGTATCACGACAGTATGAATGCACCATTAACTGATTGCAATAAAGAAGGAGTTTAATGCCGGGCAGGGGAGCAGCCGCTGTCGCCAGTCCGCAAATTATTTCTCTCGTCAAACTTATAATGCAGCTGCCATTTTGGCTGCCAACTTGTGGTGTAATTGACAAAATACGGCATTTTCAACATGGACTCGGGCGTGAGAGGTGACAGCTATGATCAAAAAGTAAAAACTAATGTCAACAAGTTGTCGAAACGATAAAAATTAATAATTTTGAGAGAAACGATTGAAAATTTAACCATACTTTCACATATATCTAGTCGGTTACATGAAACGTTTTCGTTGCACTTTTACAAACATACGGACACATGTTAAGTTATTTAGCTGGGCAAAAACATGCGATTTATATCTACATTTATTATTTATCCAGCCTGATTAACATTGTAAATGTTTAAGTAAGCCGCAATGACATTACACTGCCGGGGTGTATGCATTCCGTCTCATTCGCTTAGCCATGTTTAAGTATAGGGCGCAATTGGATTCTAATTGCGCCATCCCCCTGGCGCAATTTACAGCAGTTGTCGGTAAATGCGCCCTTTTGCATGTTTCTGAAAAGCAGCCGTCGGAAGCAAACGAAACATTCTTAATTGATCGCGAGGCTCTTAAATCGTAGCTAATGAGTTCCTCTTTGAAGTGGTTACCAGTGCATGCTTATATCTCCAGCGGTTTTCTTACAATTAGCGTTTTTCCTTAAGGTGGCGCAATTCACCCTCCTTCCCCTACCATTTCCGATATTTTTACCGCGTCCGGGCGACTTGCCTCGGGTTACCCTACCTCATCCGACAAGGCCCTGTCTCATAGCAATGACGAGCGAACCCCTGGCGGCTCTATGGCACTTAGAAACACCAAATTTGTAAGGTAGGTGAAATATGAGCCTGTCTTTCTCACTTCGTCTTGTCTCGTCTGGTCTCGTCTGTCTGGACTTGTTCTTGTCCTTGTCTCTCTCTCTCTCTCTCTCTCTCTCTCTCTCTCTCTCTCTCTCTCTCTCTCTCTCTCTCTCTCTCTCTCTCTCTCTCTCTCTCTCTCTCTCTCTCTCTCTCTCTCTCTCTCTCTCTCCCTCTCTCTCTCCCTCTCTCTTTCTCTCTCTCCGCCTCTCTCTCTCTCTGTCTCTCTCCCTCTCTCTCTGTCTCTCTCTCTGTCTCTCTCCCTTTCTCTCTGTCTCTCTCCCTCTCTCTCTCTGTCTCTGTCTCTCTCTCTCTCTCTCTCTCTCTCTCTCTCTCTCTCTCTCTCTCTCGCTCCCTCTCTCTCTCTCTCTGTCTCTCTCTCTCTTTCTCTCTCTATCCGCCTCTCTCTCTCTCTGTCTCTGTCTCTCTCTCTCTCTCTCTGTCTCTCTCTCTCTCTCTCTCTGTCTCTCTCTGTCTCTCTCTGTCTCTCTCTGTCTCTCTCTCCCTCCCTCTCTCTCTCTCCCTCTCTCTTTCTCTCTCTCTCTCTGTCTCTCTCTCTCTTTCTCTCTCTCTCTCTCTGTCTCTCTCTCTCTCTCTCTGCCCCCTCTCTCGTTCTCTCGCCCCCTCTCTCCCTCTCTCGTCTCGTGCCCGGCGGCAATGCGGCTGGCCACGCCGGAGAGGCATTGACCGTTCAGTTCGAGTCCGGTCTCCGTCGGGGCAAGGCAAGTCCGCCGCGCGTCAAACGGTAACAGTCGAGGGCCCAGGTTTTACCAAGTGTCAGATTTAACAGTTCTAGTGGAATCCAAGCGATAGTCCAGTATGAGTAGTTTTCATTAAATGCTTAGAAATTCTCTAATTTTTCTTTTTTTGGGCCGATGGGTTTTACCGAGACGCAGCTAAAGCAATGCTGAAATTTGAGGTCACGTGGCTGGAAAAGGTCAGGTCAAAAGGTGAAGTTGAAAATACATTCACATTTCGGGTTCTAGCAAATGCATTGTCGAAAATACCGACCCCAATCTGGGCTCGTATACCAAAAAAGATTGCTACATAATGTAGTGCTGTAGCTGATACAACAATGTTGAACCCATGCAAGTTATTTTAAAGGTCAAGGTCAGGTCAAGCAAGGCCACTGATTTTAAAGTTACACCATAGACTACTTTATTATTCCGTGCGCAGTCCAGGTACCTATGTGTAAAGTAGTCAATGGCTAAATGGCATATGACGCATATTTTCTGGCCATTTTTGACCATATTACTCAGAATGAACATTTTCTGTGTCGTCTGAGACTAGTATTAGCAGTTGAAGGGATCAGGTAAAGGTCAGGTAAAAAAGATAAGTTTTGGTGTTGTGAAATTTCATCTTCAAAGGTGTCTAAAAGATGCAAAATTGAGCTCAGAAATCTAACGATATCATTCGTGTTTACATGACATGCCTATAGTTTCAAAGGTGACATTGAAAATACATAATTGCGCCATCATTGGGCCATATGTGTAGTAAATAATATATAACATTATTTATTTATTACACTATGAATAATTCGGCACCCTACTGAGACTTCAAATAGTTATTCACGGAAATGGAAAGTTGGCAGGGAGCTTTGAAGAGTCGTTCTCTCCCTTCCTCAGTTGCAGGCATGGGATAAGTTAGATGACTGAATGGTCACATTCAGTCAGATGGTCCATATTATGTCGAGGTTCTGAATTTTATCCACCATTCAGCTCGAAAGCCTTTTAAAGGAAATAGTTCACTTTTAACATGGGGTTATAAACTGGAATAGCAGTTTTGTATGCTTGAGCTGAGACTAACACAAATTTAGAAGCGTTTACTGCCCAACGATCACCCTAGATGAAGATATTCTATTTCTCGTTCCGAAAAGAGTGCTGTAAAGGAATGCGTGCCATGCTGAGGAATGCAGCCACGTCATCGTCAACCAATCAGCACGCTGCTTACAACCAATGGGTTTGTACTACGCAATATGATTGGTCAACGCGTATACCTAATAAGCTTCGGTGTCAAATAATATTTTATATATAATTATATATTAAATATAGAATATGATAAATTATAAAAGATATATTTATATAGATAGTTCTTATTATATTAAAATAAAGAAAATAATTTTTTATAAAAAGATTTTATTCACTTTGCTGATCATTTTCAGCATAAAAATCATAGGTATAGATCCATTGCAAAAAAAAACTTATTTCGGGAAAGTGAACTATTCCCTTTAAGTCAGGCAAGTTCAGGATCTTTTTAACAAGAGGCGAACAATGCTCATTTATTTCATTGATTTTCCAAATTCCAAGATCGTTATCATTTTTGCTCATAGATGCCTAAAATAAATGATACAACTGCGTTATGCATGAACTGTGCGTGTTAACTTTATTGTATCTTCTTTGCAGAATGAAAAAACAATCTTCTTAAAAAAGCCGATGTGAGCTTCCAATTAGCAACAGACACTACTTCTTGATTATGTCTTCTTCGTGATGATCAACATAAGAATGATGCGTCTGCTTCAGCAAGCCTTCGCTTGTTACCGCCGAAAAAGGGTTGTGCGTGTTCTGCTGCTGTTCTTCGCTGTAAGCGCAGCAACCATTTCTATTTGCTCTGATCACCAAATAAGTCTACAACAGTTCCTGTTGTCATCCGACGTCTCCGGCACAGGAGGCGGTGACGGTGCCGAGACGCTGGTGGTCCCCGTCGGCCGACTGGTCGAGCCGTCGCTGCCGACCCAGTCGTGGTTCGCCGGTGACCCGAGCTGCGCCCACCTGGTGACACAGTTCGGCCGGCCGGGCAGCCTGCCGGACGCCCGGCTCGCCTCGCTTCCCCGCTCGGGCAACACGTGGACGCGCTACCTGCTGGAAGCGGCCACCGGTCTGGTCACTTGCGGACCCACGAAGGACGCAGAAATGGCCGAGGAGCTGCCAGCTGGAGCCCTACCGGCCGCTGCCGATATTATCGACCAACAGCAGTCGGCGACCACCTCGACAGAGCTTCGCGCTGCCGGCTTTATAGCTGAACATGTGTCCCCGTTAACACGTACTTGTCTCGTTGGTAAAACACACGAGATTCCGCCTGCCTGGCGTTACGTGGAAGGAGAAGAAGAGGCTGATTATAACGAAATGGGCAATGACTCTGGCAACACAAACAACACGACCAGCGTCGGCTACCACCTGCCGGCAATTCTGCTCGTGCGAGACCCGTTCCGATCCATCATATCCCTGCGACACCTGCAAGCTCACGCCAGAATGCTAGTGACTGAGAGCCGTGCTACCGCCGAGGCCTTTTCGGGGGACGACTGGCGCCAGTACGTGGAGCGGAAGAGCCGCCTCTGGTTTATACTAGCCGACGAGTGGGCGCACAGCCCGCGGCACACGCTGCTGGTGTCCTACGAGCGGCTGGTGGCCGAGCCGGCCGTCCAGCTGCGCCGAATGCTGCGCTTCCTGGGCGTGACCCCTGCGCCAGAGAGACTCCGCTGCACGCTGAGACACAAGGAGGGCGTCTTCAGGAACACTGAGCACCCTGTGCTGCCTAGCGAGGACGTCTATGATGCCGAGTTGCGCCGGATGGTTTGGGAGAGAATTCGGCTACTAGATGACACTTTAGCCAGTCGTGGCTACCAGAGACTTCCATTGCAATCGTATGCGTTCTACCAGCCTTAGAACTTAGAAGCACAAGGTTTCAAACGATTAGATTTACTACATGTGCTTATTGTGACAAAATCAATGCCTCGACCAAGTTGTATGCCTTGATGAGCCTTGTTGCCGATGACAGCAGTGAGAAAGTGCGAATTCTAACCGATGACGATGGAAATCACGGTATATAGAGAACTAGGTAAAACCGGTTCGCCGCCACAACACTAAGGTATTTTGACCACTATTTTCAGCTGGCCTTTTCATTCCAAAAAAAGGGAACTAGGCCTCATATTTTTATATGTTTTATTATTTACATATATATTATCCAGAAATGTATTCAGGGCAGGACTGGTGTATTTCTGTAAAGTATTTGCGAAGATAATTTTGAAGCCGGCCACGCCATTTCGAAAATAATCAATCTTAGGTTGTAGGGATTCTTTAGTAACGAAAATGTGTTTTCATCCTTAAAAATAAAAATTAATAGTGAAAAACTATTATCATAGCCTAATATTGCTTCTTTGAATTTCGAAACCACCATGCTCCCAAAGTTGTCATCCCGCCGGACCTGCCAAAGTTATACCACGAATTCTCGAATAATACCAGTGGTGTGGGTTTCAAATCAGTAGCAGTCAATATCAAAATTGAATGGTCTTTCATATCTTATGTGTTTTTTGCATTTACTAATGCTCAAAACTAGAATTAATCCATGTTGAATACATCACCACCATTGGTGTTCTTTGTCACCCTGTTCCACTAAATTTAATATTGTTTAAAAACAAGACCGAGTCGGCATCTAAATAAACCACCAAAATGTGCAAAAATGCACAGACTATAACATATAAAAGTGTTAAAGCTCAGCTAATTGGGGCTCATTGTCAATTTTCCTTCCAAAGTTGAAATTTAAAGTTTTGGGTACCAAACAGTCTTGAACAAAAACATTCATAGTTGGTAAACCTACCGCAGATGGGCTCATAAAAGTTGTTCATCATAATAAAAATTAAATTTTCTTTCCCGATAAGCATGTTTTATTGCAGTTTCGGTGTCATAAGATATATTTTTTTGGTCTAGAATGTGAGAGCTTCCTTGCTGCCAAAAGTCACACTGTAACAATCAATGGAATATTACTAAGAAATAAAACCGAGTCGGCATCTATTTATAGTACAATAATATACAAAATTAAATTTTCTATCTGCTGGTGTAAGGTTTTATACAAAATAAATTGGGGCTCAGTACGAAATTCGATGTTAAAAACTGCAGACCATGATTATCACCTGCAGCTGCGCACAGTTTACTGTACTGCTATCGCTAGCGAACGCCAGCGCTCTCATTTGATTGGTTTAACGGCGTGTTCGTTGCTGACGGAGAACATCCCTGATTTTTGAATTTGTTTTGATTAGTCCGATTAGGCACATTGGAATTCGGTTAAAATTCAATTTAAAATTGTGCAGCTTGTTGATGGTAGAAGTTGTGAAGTGCATAACATAAAAGAGTTGTGTAGAGATTGTATGGGGTGTTGGCGTTTTTGTAGTTTCCTTTTTCTTGTGCTCTTTTGAGATCTTTGTAGGGGTTGGAAATTTGGAATCACAATGCCACCAGGAAACAGTGTTATTTTGTTTTCATGCCACAGTTATGGGCAACACGGCAGGGCAAAGTTTGCCTCAAGTCCTGGCTCGTTCGTAGCCTTGATTTGCATTCAAGAAAGCAGGTCTGTGCCCGAATGGATGCTGCACATTTTTTATATTCTTCAAAGCAATCGAGGTTCATTTGCCGATGCTGCGTATGCGAAGCAAAGCAGTGTCATGCTGACGCGGAGATGAAGACGTGAGTATGAAACAGACTACAATACTTGGCAAAAAGGCAAGCAAAATGCATCACTTAGTTCGACTAATCCGCATCATTTTATATCAACCAATCTGGAAATGTGTACCATCCAGTGTACCAGTATGCCCTGCATAAATGTGGAAGAATTGAGCCAGAGCCCATGCTAAGCGTGAATTGCTGTGTAGACCTACAAACCCCACCATGCACCAGGCATCCTTGAGCATGTGCTGTGTTGTGCAGGTGATTGTGCATTGGTGTTCATGTGCTCCTGGGTGCCTTTTTGGTGGGGGGGGGGGAGCTCGAGCTGGTTTTAGACTAGCAACATTATTTCTAGACAAGTTATTTGTTGATTTTTTACATTTACTTAAGTTACATTTGGAAAGTCTTACATTCAGAGTACAGCTAGGCACATCAGCCCACCATGGGAGTCTGACTAGTAAAATGTAGTGTTTGCAACCTGTGGTGACATTGAATAAGCCAAATGATATAAGATCGTCATCATGCGCTGCTGTCGCCTTTGTTTTCATTGTGTGTTGTGTGGTTCTTGAGTTATCATCCTATCCACCAGGTTGTATCTGGCGGTGGTTCTGGAGATAGCGCGGTTCGATCCAGCTGTGGGCCGGACGTCACCCAGCAGAAATGGCAGCGTGTTATCACCAGCTACGAGGCGCGCATACAGACATTGTCCAGAAACAATCACGTCATCTCCAGGTCAGTTGTGCATCCCACCGACTCTGTAGGGCAGTGATATAATGCCAATTGTGTTACCTGCCCCCTGATAGGTGATAATGGCGTCCCCTCGTCCTCGGTGAGTGGCGTGATGACTGTGACCGGTCACCGGTCGACCACAGGTCGATCGGGGCCGGTTGTCGCTGTGGTCCGAGAGCCGAGGCGGGCCCAGGGGCGACCTCCTTGGCCGTCTGATGGAGGCGTGGTCCCATACATGCATTTCCCATCAATATGTGAATTTATCAATTTATAGGTAAATGGTTGTGACCAATCACTGTTCAACATCTGCCAATATAACCCGACCTGCGTCCTCCTCTGCCCTCCACCCTCAGGCAGTCAGCTGAGTCAGATCCAGGACCAGCTCCAGAGCCTGAACCTGTCATTGAAGGCCGTCAGGCACCACCTATCCTTCACTGTACAATCCTTCGGTGTTACAAGTTACAACCAGATTAATTGCTTTATGCTCCACTCAGTCTGCTGTTTGACCATAATGGGCTGTTTGAATGGCATGGCATATTGTGTCATAAGGAAAAAATATAGCATTGCAGTTAAAGGCCTACTTGCATTACTATGCTTCCAGTGAATGCTCTGAATATTTCTTGGTGAGTTAAATAGATTACCTTAGGGATATTCAGCATAGGACTTTGTAGTTTCAGTGATGCTTTTCGATGCTAAGTGATGCTTTCCGCGATGCGAGTCGGATGGACTTCGCTCAGGCGGTGTCAGGTCGCTGCCGCCGGGGCCAAGCTGTGTCCGGGCAGGCGGTGAGTCAGTGAGCGAGATGGACTGACGGTGTGAGGGTGCGCGCTGAGGAATACAGAATCTACAAGCTATTTCGGCAATCATGGCGAACTTCGACTTGAAACTTATCCCGGAGTATGATGGCACTAGTGACTTTTCGTGTTGGTATGAGAAGGTGGAACTGGTGTGTGGCCTGCAAAAACCGGCAGTGGACTTGGCCGTGGTGGTGCCGTTGAGACTGACAGGGGGTGCCTCGGCTGTTTATCGCCAACTGAGTGAAGCCGACAAGGCGGACGCAGGGAAAGTGAAGGCGGCTTTGCAGCGTGCGTTTGCAGTCGACAAGTTTAAAGCCTACGAAGAGTTCCGAGATCGCCAGCTGCGGGTCGACGAGTCCGTCGATGTGTTTCTGGCGGACCTACAAAGACTGTCGTCGATCTTCGGAGGCATTAACGAAGAGGGATTGAGCTGCGCATTTGTGGCAGGACTGCCCGAGTCCGTGCGGCACGCTCTCCAGACAGGCGCCCGCATGGAGTCCCTGTCTCTGTCGGAGATGGTGGACCGGGCCCGTGCTATCCTCTGTCGAGATAGCGTTCTGGGGGTAGCTGCAGCGGCAGACCACCGCGGTCCGCGCCGTCAGGAAGCCACCGTTTGCTATGCGTGCGGACAGCCCAACCACTTGGCCCGCGATTGTCTTCGTGGTCGAGGTGGCCGTGGACGTCGAGGTGGTTTGGGCGGAAGCAGGCTCTGCTTCCGGTGCAGCCGACCCGGCCACGTGGCAGCTACCTGCCCGGAAAACGGCGGCGGAGAGGTGGCCTCAGCGCCAGCCTCCTCTCCGGCTCACCAGTGAGTGGCGCTCTGCCGACCACGCGCCTGTCGGTGGACGGAGTGATGTGTCGAGCCCTCGTGGATACCGGATGCACCGTGAGCGTGGCGCACTCCTCCGTTTGCCGCCGCTGGTCTGCGGAGCGAATCAACGTTGTGACACTGAGTGGAGAACGATACGCATGCGAAGGCAGAGGTTACGTGTCAGTGCAGACCATGTTTGGTGCTCGAGTTGAGTTGGAAGTGCTGGTGTCTGCTAGAAAGCCTTTGAACTTTTCATTCATTCTGGGAATGAACGGTGTGACTGCTCTGCAGGGCGTGTTCGTTAGTGCATCCAGTGAAGTGAACTTTGGAGTGGACTCAGCTGTGCCGGCCGCTCCAGTTGCAGCGGCTGCCAGTGGCGTCTCGGATGGAGCAGCCTCATCGCTGCATCCGGGCTGCAATGAGACGGCGGCGCAACCCGAACCGACACCGACCGACCTGCACCCGGACCGGGCAGCAGTTGTGGATGCACCAGATTATGCCGTGTACTTTGATCCGACATCTAAGGCGTGGAGAATGAAATGGAAGTGGACTGACGGAGCAGAGCCGGAGTGCTTGCAGAACACTGTCGCACAGTACAGGGTGCCGTGTGACGCTCGCCGTGAATTTGACGATGAACTCAAACGTTGGGTGGAGCAGGGCTGGCTTATTCCCTACAACGAGTCAGAGCTTGGCCCACCAAAGGGTCTGGTGCCTTTAATGGCAGTTCGACAAAAGAACAAATCGAAAGTGAGACCTGTGCTTGACTATCGTGAACTGAACAATTACTTGACAGCTCACACAGCTGACGCAGACGTCTGTGCGGACCAACTGAGGAAGTGGCGACGACATGGCGAAAACGTTGCGGTCGTAGATCTACGTCACGCGTATTTGCAGATTCAGGTTGACCGCCAGCTGTGGCCGTTTCAGACGGTGATGATCGAAAACCAGAGACATTGTTTGACACGGCTCGGTTATGGATTGTGCGTGGCTCCGCTCGTCATGAAGGCGGTGATTCGGACGGTTCTGGAACGTGACGCGGACGTAAACCGGGCAGTGCTTCCGTACGTGGACGATCTGCTGGTGAACGAGGACATTGTTAGCGCAGAGCGAGTGGTGGCTCATCTGGCGAACTTTGGTCTCGAGTGCAAGCCTCCAGAGCGGGCGGCAGGCGGTGCGCGTCTGCTCGGTCTGCGAGTCTCACGGGAGCTTGGCAGGCTGGTGTGGAGCAGAGACAACCCAGTCGGACCACCACCGGCTGTGCTCACGCGCCGTGGAGTGTTCTCGTGGTGCGGACGCCTGATCGCTCACATGCCCGTGTGTGGTTGGCTCCGCCCTGCCGTGGCCTGGCTGAAACGACGCGTGAATGACGTCACACAAGGATGGGATGACATCACCTACGACGGAGTTCTGCAGAAGCAGATTAGTCATGTCGCGGCTCGGGTAGCCAGTCACGATCCGGCACACGGTCTGTGGAGCGTGCGGAGCGACCGCGCTGTGGTTTGGGTGGATGCGAGCTCCGTAGCAGCGGGTGTGGTGGTGGAGTCACCTGACGGCGACGTCATTGAAGACGGATGCTGGCTGAGGAAGGATGAATCCACACACATAAATGTTGCGGAGCTAAATGCGGCCGTGAGAGGCATCAACGTGGCCGTCGCTTGGGACATGCGTGTCATCGATCTGCGCACGGATTCGGTCACAGTGCACCGTTGGATCAACGATGCATTGAGCGGCCGCACTCGGCTGCGCACCAAGGCACACGGAGAGATGTTGATCAGACGCAGGGTCGACATGATTCGACAGCTGGTGGATGAGCAGAGCCAATATCAGCAGAGCCTCCTGGTGCAAGCTGATCCTCCGTCCGGTCCTCTGCCGCGCCGGCCGAGTCTCCCCGCGGCGTCATCCGATCCACCTCAGCGCTGCTACCACCTGCAGCTGCGACTTGATCGCCTCCTCTCAGTACTGCCGAACCCGATGAATCGTCATCAGAGTTAGGCAATGCCAGCCCATTGGCCGCAGCCTCGCAGCCGGCCATTGTCTCAGTAGCTGCAGGCGATGACTCATCACGCACCCAGTCTTTCGGCACTCGGGTCAGCTCGTCTGCTCGATTCGCTGCGCTCCGCACTAGAGTTACAGACAGCGACAGCTCGAGCTCATCCACCAGCTGTCGAATCATGTCGACCCTGCGTCTGATCAACATCTCTCCGTGTGCCTTGGTGCGCAGCCGAGTGCGGCCGCTCAATGCATCGTTGATCCAACGGTGCACTGTGACCGAATCCGTGCGCAGATCGATGACACGCATGTCCCAAGCGACGGCCACGTTGATGCCTCTCACGGCCGCATTTAGCTCCGCAACATTTATGTGTGTGGATTCATCCTTCCTCAGCCAGCATCCGTCTTCAATGACGTCGCCGTCAGGTGACTCCACCACCACACCCGCTGCTACGGAGCTCGCATCCACCCAAACCACAGCGCGGTCGCTCCGCACGCTCCACAGACCGTGTGCCGGATCGTGACTGGCTACCCGAGCCGCGACATGACTAATCTGCTTCTGCAGAACTCCGTCGTAGGTGATGTCATCCCATCCTTGTGTGACGTCATTCACGCGTCGTTTCAGCCAGGCCACGGCAGGGCGGAGCCAACCACACACGGGCATGTGAGCGATCAGGCGTCCGCACCACGAGAACACTCCACGGCGCGTGAGCACAGCCGGTGGTGGTCCGACTGGGTTGTCTCTGCTCCACACCAGCCTGCCAAGCTCCCGTGAGACTCGCAGACCGAGCAGACGCGCACCGCCTGCCGCCCGCTCTGGAGGCTTGCACTCGAGACCAAAGTTCGCCAGATGAGCCACCACTCGCTCTGCGCTAACAATGTCCTCGTTCACCAGCAGATCGTCCACGTACGGAAGCACTGCCCGGTTTACGTCCGCGTCACGTTCCAGAACCGTCCGAATCACCGCCTTCATGACGAGCGGAGCCACGCACAATCCATAACCGAGCCGTGTCAAACAATGTCTCTGGTTTTCGATCATCACCGTCTGAAACGGCCACAGCTGGCGGTCAACCTGAATCTGCAAATACGCGTGACGTAGATCTACGACCGCAACGTTTTCGCCATGTCGTCGCCACTTCCTCAGTTGGTCCGCACAGACGTCTGCGTCAGCTGTGTGAGCTGTCAAGTAATTGTTCAGTTCACGATAGTCAAGCACAGGTCTCACTTTCGATTTGTTCTTTTGTCGAACTGCCATTAAAGGCACCAGACCCTTTGGTGGGCCAAGCTCTGACTCGTTGTAGGGAATAAGCCAGCCCTGCTCCACCCAACGTTTGAGTTCATCGTCAAATTCACGGCGAGCGTCACACGGCACCCTGTACTGTGCGACAGTGTTCTGCAAGCACTCCGGCTCTGCTCCGTCAGTCCACTTCCATTTCATTCTCCACGCCTTAGATGTCGGATCAAAGTACACGGCATAATCTGGTGCATCCACAACTGCTGCCCGGTCCGGGTGCAGGTCGGTCGGTGTCGGTTCGGGTTGCGCCGCCGTCTCATTGCAGCCCGGATGCAGCGATGAGGCTGCTCCATCCGAGACGCCACTGGCAGCCGCTGCAACTGGAGCGGCCGGCACAGCTGAGTCCACTCCAAAGTTCACTTCACTGGATGCACTAACGAACACGCCCTGCAGAGCAGTCACACCGTTCATTCCCAGAATGAATGAAAAGTTCAAAGGCTTTCTAGCAGACACCAGCACTTCCAACTCAACTCGAGCACCAAACATGGTCTGCACTGACACGTAACCTCTGCCTTCGCATGCGTATCGTTCTCCACTCAGTGTCACAACGTTGATTCGCTCCGCAGACCAGCGGCGGCAAACGGAGGAGTGCGCCACGCTCACGGTGCATCCGGTATCCACGAGGGCTCGACACATCACTCCGTCCACCGACAGGCGCGTGGTCGGCAGAGCGCCACTCACTGGTGAGCCGGAGAGGAGGCTGGCGCTGAGGCCACCTCTCCGCCGCCGTTTTCCGGGCAGGTAGCTGCCACGTGGCCGGGTCGGCTGCACCGGAAGCAGAGCCTGCTTCCGCCCAAACCACCTCGACGTCCACGGCCACCTCGACCACGAAGACAATCGCGGGCCAAGTGGTTGGGCTGTCCGCACGCATAGCAAACGGTGGCTTCCTGACGGCGCGGACCGCGGTGGTCTGCCGCTGCAGCTACCCCCAGAACGCTATCTCGACAGAGGATAGCACGGGCCCGGTCCACCATCTCCGACAGAGACAGGGACTCCATGCGGGCGCCTGTCTGGAGAGCGTGCCGCACGGACTCGGGCAGTCCTGCCACAAATGCGCAGCTCAATCCCTCTTCGTTAATGCCTCCGAAGATCGACGACAGTCTTTGTAGGTCCGCCAGAAACACATCGACGGACTCGTCGACCCGCAGCTGGCGATCTCGGAACTCTTCGTAGGCTTTAAACTTGTCGACTGCAAACGCACGCTGCAAAGCCGCCTTCACTTTCCCTGCGTCCGCCTTGTCGGCTTCACTCAGTTGGCGATAAACAGCCGAGGCACCCCCTGTCAGTCTCAACGGCACCACCACGGCCAAGTCCACTGCCGGTTTTTGCAGGCCACACACCAGTTCCACCTTCTCATACCAACACGAAAAGTCACTAGTGCCATCATACTCCGGGATAAGTTTCAAGTCGAAGTTCGCCATGATTGCCGAAATAGCTTGTAGATTCTGTATTCCTCAGCGCGCACCCTCACACCGTCAGTCCATCTCGCTCACTGACTCACCGCCTGCCCGGACACAGCTTGGCCCCGGCGGCAGCGACCTGACACCGCCTGAGCGAAGTCCATCCGACTCGCATCGCGGAAAGCATCACTTAGCATCGAAAAGCATCACTGAAACTACAAAGTCCTATGCTGAATATCCCTAAGGTAATCTATTTAACTCACCAAGAAATATTCAGAGCATTCACTGGAAGCATAGTAATGCAAGTAGGCCTTTAACTGCAATGCTATATTTTTTCCTTATGACACAATATGCCATGCCATTCAAACAGCCCATTATGGTCAAACAGCAGACTGAGTGGAGCATAAAGCAATTAATCTGGTTGTAACTTGTAACACCGAAGGATTGTACAGTGAAGGATAGGTGGTGCCTGACGGCCTTCAATGACAGGTTCAGGCTCTGGAGCTGGTCCTGGATCTGACTCAGCTGACTGCCTGAGGGTGGAGGGCAGAGGAGGACGCAGGTCGAATCCGGACCAAGATTAGTAGTCTGAGTCACCGAAAATCCATCGACTGCGTGGACTTGCCATGGCTGCGGAGTCAGAGTCCGAGTCGATCGTATAAGTCGACAGTTTTGCCCAGAGTCAGAGTTGAAATTGACTTTTGAAAGCCGTAGTCGGGTCGGAGTAACTCCATCGACTTCACAGCCCTGGCCTGGTAAGCACATCACCCGTCGTAAGCTAGTTCTCCTTATTTTAGAGGCGGAACTATGCCATTATATGTCAGCAAGCATTTATAATGCATCGTAAATGGTCTCACATAGGTTTAAGTGTCAATTTTGAAACCAGGGAACCATTTTCAACGGATCCGAGCAGCGCTGGGATTTAATTCGCGCTAAACTAGTGTTTGGCCACACTGTGCGTCGGCGGGCGGGCCGGCGTCGGTCGGCGAGCCTCGTTCGGCTACCGGATCACCTTCGGCCGGCGAGCGACCGTCGGTCGTCGGGCCACCATCGGCGGGCAGAACGCCGTTGGCTGGCGGAAGCCCGTTGGCTGGCGGAACGCCGCCGGCTGGCGGGGAGCACTGTCGATGAGCAGGCCATCGTTGGCAGTACCATCGTGGTCGCGTGGCGCTCTGAAACACAGTAAAGAGTTAATGACTCATTAGGGACCATATTATTTTCAAGTCTGTAGATTCTGTATTCCTCAGCGCGCACCCTCACACCGTCAGTCCATCTCGCTCACTGACTCACCGCCTGCCCGGACACAGCTTGGCCCCGGCGGCAGCGACCTGACACCGCCTGAGCGAAGTCCATCCGACTCGCATCGCGGAAAGCATCACTTAGCATCGAAAAGCATCACTGAAACTACACTCCACCCTTGATCTCGAAGGATCAACCCATCGATTGGAAATACTGGGCCTGTCTACGTTCCCGCTCGCTTCTACGTGGAATCTGTCGCTCCTCCTCACCCACAATCTCAGCTGACTCTCCCTCCACGACTTCCGGCCCACTGTTCCCCTCTGAGCCCGCATCATTCACCACCGGCACGGTAATGACCAGACTCTCACCGTCCCTCTCTCCCTCACTGTCGCCCTCACTAACGGGCCCCTCCTCGACGGCGGCATTCCGTCGGCGTAAATTTCTCACGTGCCACGGCACTCCATCGACTTCTACGACCTGCTCAGAAACGACATCAGACACCGTGCCGGGACGCGACGCATCAACACACCGAGTTCCCCGACGACGTACCCAGACAGGGTCGCCAACACGATACGCGGCTGCCTCACTGTTCACTGGTACGGGGTTGGGCGCCGGCGGTGCAGCAGCGGGCCACACATTGTCCCTCACATTGTACCGGAACACGACACTCGCGGGTGCAGATCCACCCTCGCGCGGCGTTACATTGTACAGGTGGACTGCCTCGGCCACCGAGCATTGTTTTCGCGCAGCAATGACCTTGATCGTGCGATGGTTCCGCTCAACTATCGAATTGCCAGCCGGCTCATGAACCGCCCTAAATCGAAGACGCACGCCCCACCTCGCTGCAAAAGCCGCAAAACTCCGACTGCGAAAGATGGTGTCATTATCACAAAGCAGCTCCTCAGGTGCCCCGCGCTCGAAGAAGATCTGTTCGAGCTGAGCGATCGTGACATCAGCGTCCGGACGACTCAGGTGTCGCCACAGACAGAACCGCGAGGGTCCACAGTCCACAACCGAGAGAAACGACTGGCCCCGGTAGTGCGTTACATCAATTGCCAGTCGCTTCCATACGTCAGACACTTCCAACGAGCCATGCCTCCACTTCATTGGCGCCGGATCGATTGAGCGGCATGCGTCACACTGGCTCACCACATTTTGCACTTGAGCTCGCGTCACGTCCTTTGAAATGTCACGCCGTGCAAAGTACAGTGTCCGACGAACCCCGGGATGTCCGGCGCGGTCATGCACTCCTGCGATGGCCGCGCCGGACATCCCGGGGTTCGTCGGACACTGTACTTTGCACGGCGTGACATTTCAAAGGACGTGACGCGAGCTCAAGTGCAAAATGTGGTGAGCCAGTGTGACGCATGCCGCTCAATCGATCCGGCGCCAATGAAGTGGAGGCATGGCTCGTTGGAAGTGTCTGACGTATGGAAGCGACTGGCAATTGATGTAACGCACTACCGGGGCCAGTCGTTTCTCTCGGTTGTGGACTGTGGACCCTCGCGGTTCTGTCTGTGGCGACACCTGAGTCGTCCGGACGCTGATGTCACGATCGCTCAGCTCGAACAGATCTTCTTCGAGCGCGGGGCACCTGAGGAGCTGCTTTGTGATAATGACACCATCTTTCGCAGTCGGAGTTTTGCGGCTTTTGCAGCGAGGTGGGGCGTGCGTCTTCGATTTAGGGCGGTTCATGAGCCGGCTGGCAATTCGATAGTTGAGCGGAACCATCGCACGATCAAGGTCATTGCTGCGCGAAAACAATGCTCGGTGGCCGAGGCAGTCCACCTGTACAATGTAACGCCGCGCGAGGGTGGATCTGCACCCGCGAGTGTCGTGTTCCGGTACAATGTGAGGGACAATGTGTGGCCCGCTGCTGCACCGCCGGCGCCCAACCCCGTACCAGTGAACAGTGAGGCAGCCGCGTATCGTGTTGGCGACCCTGTCTGGGTACGTCGTCGGGGAACTCGGTGTGTTGATGCGTCGCGTCCCGGCACGGTGTCTGATGTCGTTTCTGAGCAGGTCGTAGAAGTCGATGGAGTGCCGTGGCACGTGAGAAATTTACGCCGACGGAATGCCGCCGTCGAGGAGGGGCCCGTTAGTGAGGGCGACAGTGAGGGAGAGAGGGACGGTGAGAGTCTGGTCATTACCGTGCCGGTGGTGAATGATGCGGGCTCAGAGGGGAACAGTGGGCCGGAAGTCGTGGAGGGAGAGTCAGCTGAGATTGTGGGTGAGGAGGAGCGACAGATTCCACGTAGAAGCGAGCGGGAACGTAGACAGGCCCAGTATTTCCAATCGATGGGTTGATCCTTCGAGATCAAGGGTGGAGTGTAGTTTCAGTGATGCTTTTCGATGCTAAGTGATGCTTTCCGCGATGCGAGTCGGATGGACTTCGCTCAGGCGGTGTCAGGTCGCTGCCGCCGGGGCCAAGCTGTGTCCGGGCAGGCGGTGAGTCAGTGAGCGAGATGGACTGACGGTGTGAGGGTGCGCGCTGAGGAATACAGAATCTACAGACTTGAAAATAATATGGTCCCTAATGAGTCATTAACTCTTTACTGTGTTTCAGAGCGCCACGCGACCACGATGGTACTGCCAACGATGGCCTGCTCATCGACAGTGCTCCCCGCCAGCCGGCGGCGTTCCGCCAGCCAACGGGCTTCCGCCAGCCAACGGCGTTCTGCCCGCCGATGGTGGCCCGACGACCGACGGTCGCTCGCCGGCCGAAGGTGATCCGGTAGCCGAACGAGGCTCGCCGACCGACGCCGGCCCGCCCGCCGACGCACAGTGTGGCCAAACACTAGTTTAGCGCGAATTAAATCCCAGCGCTGCTCGGATCCGTTGAAAATGGTTCCCTGGTTTCAAAATTGACACTTAAACCTATGTGAGACCATTTACGATGCATTATAAATGCTTGCTGACATATAATGGCATAGTTCCGCCTCTAAAATAAGGAGAACTAGCTTACGACGGGTGATGTGCTTACCAGGCCAGGGCTGTGAAGTCGATGGAGTTACTCCGACCCGACTACGGCTTTCAAAAGTCAATTTCAACTCTGACTCTGGGCAAAACTGTCGACTTATACGATCGACTCGGACTCTGACTCCGCAGCCATGGCAAGTCCACGCAGTCGATGGATTTTCGGTGACTCAGACTACTAATCTTGGTCCGGATTCCAAAATCGATTCCGATTCCGACTCTGACTGGGGTCAGAACTGTTGACTCCGAACGACTCCGACTCTGATTACGAAATCCTGGAATTTAAACGCAAATAAGAGGCATAAAATTGTGGGTCCCAGCAATGATGGGCATGCTAGGAGGAGGAATCGTTTACGAAATTCCCATCATTTCTCTGGTAAATTCTTATGATTGTCCAAAGTTTGCTTGAAAAAATCAACATCTAATTATGTTTCTGTGTGAATGTTCCTGGTGAAGCACATGAATCGGTAGATGGTTGCTGAAATACACGCACCGATAGGACTGAACCTCAGCAATGGGAGTAAAAACAAAGACTTACACCATAAGCACCTTCATGTCATTAACCCTCGCCCGTATTGGTGTTTTGCTAGCCGCGAACGTAGGTCGGGTCAGGTCAGGTCAGGCCAACCAGTTCTGCCGGGTATTCATAATTAATAGGTGTCAACCGTCAGTGACAGCTTCGTTGCATGTTACGAAGGCACCAAAACTTCTTCCTAAATGTTCAAATGGTTACTAAATTCGACATCAGCTCCAAAAACTAGCCTGGAAGCATGTAAAACTAAAAAAGGTGAACCGAGGTCATCAAAGGTCATTGAACTGACCGACCTTCAAGTGATCTTGACACCGACCATAATGCATGGAACCAACATCATAATATCACATGTTTAGACGCTTGAATTCACGAAAAGACTGCAAACGCGCGGCTAATGCAAGCAAACATACGCCCAATCGCGATTCCGGCCAAACATGGTCTCGAGAAATAGGTCACAGGTCAAAGGTCATTGGGGTCAGGGTCGTGAAATTTAAAGGGTAGGTGTAAAATTGATAAACTCGAGGGTACTGAAAGTTTCGTCGCGATCGGCCGCTATTTACATGAGCTTTTTGCGAAAAACCGAGAGGGGTCCTTTCGGCCCCCACCCTCACCCCCTATATATGGGCGAGGGTTAAAAAATTGTCAAGATTTATTCATTGGCGACCGTATTCTGCAATATAACAAGTCAGAAATACAGCGGCTGAGCCATTCGCGTAACGTTACGGAGCCGCCGCCGCGCCCACCCTGTAGCCGGACCTCCCCGGGCGGGCCAACCCGATACGTTCAAAGCTGAGCCAAAGGCCGGGGGGCAGGTTGGGGCAGGGTTTTTTGAATGGATCATGTCCAGAAAAGTGTGGCGAATCTTCTCATGGTAGATTTGGCGTGGAGTTTTTTGGCCATTTTCTTATATCTCTACGTTTTTAAGATGGACGGTGTTTTCAGGGGATGTCTGAAAAGGTCATTTTCAAATGAGCATAACTCATCGGTTAGTCCAAGGATACCTATAGAATTCGGGTATACTATCAAATATAGGCTCAGTAGTCATATGCCACCCCAATTATTTCCAAAGCTTTCCGATAATTACGCAAAAATGTGTTGTAAACATGACGCGGGTTTTCGACGACTTCAGCACAGCTGGGACCGGCATTGCGTATGTCCACTTTAGCTAGCTTTTTGGACACCGAAAGGAAGACATTGAACCAAAGTATTGTGATATTGACATACTTTGGACAATTTCCTATCGACTGATAGTTATAAAAAGTCAAAATTCCAAAATTCGTTTTTTGATTAAATTCGCGCTAATCTGGCGTTTGGCCACACTGTGCGACGGCGCCCTGCCAGCCGACCGCGTCCCGCTCGCCGACGGCGTCGATACGCCGGCGCGCGTATCGACATTGATCAGAAACGATCACATTATGTCCAGGTCAGTAATTGTGTCAATCAACGCATCCACAGGTCAGCTGTGTCCTGCTTCGTTACTAGGTCAGTGACCCTAGGTGGGTTGCTTGGGGGAACTTTATGTGTTGCCGGGATGGGATGTCTGCTAATGCAGGTGCCGTTGCAAGTGTCGTGACGCTTGATGGTCTCAGGCTTGAGCTTCGAGTGAGTGAGAAATGCTGAGTGAGAAATGTGTAATGTGTATTATACAGGCGAATGTACTGTTATTATGGATGAGTGTGCGACAGGGAACGTTATGAGGTATGATTCGTGGTCGCCGTGGCTGGTAGTGGCATTTTACGCGACCGTGGTGACCTGTGACGGCAGCCGTGACTGCTATATGACAGTCGCCGTGACTGTTCTATAACGGCCTTCGTGACTGAAACGTGACGGTCGTCACTCGTCGTGACGTGCCGCGACTCGCTGTTTTGCAGGTCATTAGTCGCGGGCGCTCGAGCTGACGGTGTCGTCTGACGGCTCCACGGTGACCAGCGCCGCCTCCGCCGAGAACATCCGACTCCTGAAATGCTAATGGTCGTACACGAACAAGAGGCTCTAAACATCCAGGTGCAGGATAAGCGCCATGCTCAGAGGCGTCATCTGGAGAAGGCCGCACAGTGCACTTAAGGCTGAGCTCGGGTGTAGTGCGCGCAGACAGATATGATCAACTGACGGGCCGGCCATCAGATTTCAGTACGGAACTCAAGATGATTGGAGCCGACGTGGTTCGGTTGATGGTGTGTCAGGGTTGATTGAGAGTGGAGGCGAGACACCCGGATCTGTGAATGATACGCCGATACGGATCTCGACGTCGTCTCGCAATTTGTGCTATGTAATATGACGGCTATGCCGTGGTATCATTCACTCTCGATGCGCTAATAAATAATAAATAGGACAGAGATTGGAATTAAGATTATTATATTTGGATGTAAGGGGCAGGTTTTGGCCAGCGCTATATTAGAAATCGTGAGCGTGCTAGTTGCAATCAATCGCGCGCTTCTTGCTGAGCATCTGTGAGCGAGAAAATACTTTCTCTGGAACGTTCGTCGTAAAGTATCTTTGGAATAAGTTGTCAGAACATGAATGCATTTTTGGTGTCCACTGCAGCTGCTGTTCTGGAACAGAAATATGCCGAGATCGGCTGTGTAGGTATGTACTATGTACGCTGTGGCAAAATCAAGCAGCCGTACCATGAATCAAAAGCGATATGTGAATTAAAGTGGATATATTTCACTATTTTTTTCAGTTTTATCATACAGATCACAGAAATGCGTCAAATACTGATCACATCCGGTTCCAAACAACTAAACGCTTGCGATCACTGGAAAGTAAATAAACAATAGATACCCATGTGGCTGCCTGGCGTGATCCGAGACTCTCTCTCTCTCTCTCTCTCTCTCTCTCTCTCTCTCTCTCTCTCTCTCTCTCTCTCTCTCTCTCTCTCTCTCTCTCTCTCTCTCTCTCTCTCTCTCTCTCTCTCTCTCTCTCTCTCTCGCTCTCTGTTGTTGCTGACGCACACAGGACAACACAGCCGAATCGCGACGATGGAGAGCACGGAACGATGCTGGTGACTGGCGGACCAGCGAAAACAGGAAAGGAGATGAATAGCTCTAGCTCCCGTCTGCGCGCGGAAGGGCTCTGATTGGCGCGGCTCGCTGACTCCATTGGCTCATCAGACTGTTGTTGGTTTCCTCCTTCCCCCTCCCACAAGCGTAGCCACTAGCCAGGTAGCTAAGTTGTGCGTGGAAGCGAGCGGCCAGAGCGGCGCTAGGTGTCGCCCTCCCAGCGACCGGGCAGTGCAGCTGGACACTGGGCTGTGCAGCTGGACGTGCCCCGGATGGTCCGCCTCTGATCTCGGCACACTCGGCAGAGTGCGACCGGACACTCCATGGAGTTGCATAGCGTCGATAGGCCGTATGGTGTCGCTGTCGTAATTATAAAAGCGTAAGTAGAAGGCTGAAACAAGATATAGAATGCTTTTCTTTACATTTAATATCGCAAAGCACAGCTTTATGCGCTGGCTACGATATGTGCGTGTCGGTTGCGGCAGTAATCATCGAAGAAATATATGATTTATGAACGTTTCATGATCATAGAATGATAAAACATTGCAATGTTTGCCTGTTGTGAAGAAAACTCCTATACTGCCGCTCTATCGTCCGGAATTATTCGTGTTTGATTACGGCGATTCCGCCACTCTATCAGCTGATTTTTGTTTCCGAGTCACGTGACCAACCGGTGTCTCCCTGATGGAAATATTACAAACGCTATATATCTCAACTGGATCTCAGTGTGCAGTGCCTATCCACCTACATTTCAGAACACCATATCTTTATTTGTGGGCGCTGCGCTCTCATTCCTTTCATTCGCTCGGCTTTGTTGTAACTTGCTTTCTTCCGTGCGCCTTTCACGCCAAGACCCGAGGAGAGCCCGAGGCAGTGATTGTGCCCGTCTGACCAGAGACCTCCACATAGGTTGGTACAAGTGACCTTAATTTTAAATATAACTTTTTGGCTCCTATTTCTAATTTAGTTATATTATGAGGTTACTGGTTATTCTTATATTATTATCCTTTAGAAAATAGATACAACAAATGCTAAATATATATGATCGTACATATAATGCTATTTGTAAATGCGTATATATCGAATGACTGTGTGGTGAATTGGAGCCCGTCGGAGAGCCCTTATAGGCTGCATCCACTGAAACATACAGACGTAATGTGCGGTACATTGGAGGCACATGAGTGACGTGCACATCAGTGTTCAGATGACCTCCAAGTGACCGCTCGCAGCGCCGACACGGCGTCCTGCCGTGTTTAGCCGCGATGACTAGAGTTTATCTGAACCTGCAGCGGTCACTGACCGACGCGCTGCGGCTGCAGTCTGCCCTTGGAGAGGCGCCAAGCGGCTTATTCACGTACAACAATGCCCCCCGGGTATTGTCTGGCTGTTCACCCTGGGTTCAGAGAAGTCGTATCAGGCAGTGCAGCTTACTGCGAAAAACGCAGTAAATGGGGAAGTCCATGATGAAGTCCACATATCTGGAGACGGATATCCATTCTTGTCGTTGTCTATTTGATAGGTATACCTCGTAAAGTGATAATGATTGTTCTGTTAAAATGTTCGTTCAAGAGTAGCTTCCATGACGCAGATCTTACAGCATATGTCAAAGCATAGTTAACACGACTCATGTTATTTATGGTCACGGTCAGGGTATAATACATATGCCAAAACTGTTATACATGGTTAGTGATTTGCATATGCAGTCGCAGAGGACATGTGTAATAGATATGTAAAGATTTAAGTAAAGAATCTGCGAGACCTGAGTAATCTCTCAGGCATATCTGAAGTTGGATATGCATGCTCTTACTTGATACCATAAGAAAGCATATGTTTGATCAATTATCTAATAACTTGATTTGTTTTGCAATTTGCATCATAGCGGGTACTAGGGTCTTTATTATCGATGCTGATCTTACAGCAGCCCCCCCCCCCCCCTGTAGATACAAAAATTATTAACCCGTGCACGACTGGGGTAGGGCTCTACAGACCATCCCCCGTTTTTATGCAATTTCTTTAAAACCGCTGAATATCGGCACGAGAATTTCAGCACCCTGGGCTACATCAATTTAACATCCAGTGTTTAAAGAAAAAGTATGCAGCTACCATAGAGCCGCCAGGAAGGAATTCAGGGTGACGTCATGTTCGGCCGAGTTTCATGCAAAACATGGGCTCACCATGGATAAGATATAGTGCCATTATCTCATCCATGGACATCACGGCAATCTCTCAAAAGCCCAGTTTTATCTATAGAACCAATTTCTTTGCATGGCCTGACTCAAAATACAGAGGGCTATGACACGGATATCTCAGATTTTCAACATTTTAAAAATTATGGGAACAATACACAATAAGACCCCAAAAAAGGTATTTTTAAAAGATTTTAAACTAAACCTACCTAAGGTTTTGACTTAAAAACAGAATACCTAGGTATTTGTGATAGCACACACCTACCTATGAACTACCACAGCAAGTTATAGCGCTAGGTATATCTTCAAAATTGGCAAATTATCCCACACCCGCTGCCCGCTGGCTAGGGGATGTTTGAACACCCCTTGCAGTTTTTGGCGCACCTTATTTGACATTTTTTTAATATCTTATAATAATTCTGAATTTCAGACTCGAGTCTCTCAAGGCCAGCTCACCAGATCGCCTCAAGTGACCTCACTTCAGAAGAAAAAGCTCCAGTGCTTGTCGTAGCTACACCAAGTGACGGATCACTTTAAAACTTTCAGCGATTGATAAAGGCAGCAGCATGCACAACGTGTACATGCATCCCGGAACTTTGATATCAGTGACCTAAGGTCAGGTCACTTTTGCACCCTCTCTATTATGATTCAATGGGGGGAGGGGAATTTAAAGGCGCCTCTTTTGACAAATGTTATTCTAAACACTCTATTAACCCCGAGTTGCTGGGGTATTTCGCCACCCGCCGTTTGCTGGGGGGGGGGGGGCGTTAAACGCCCCCAGCCGATAACTCGAGAGCCAATAGGCACAGCGAAACGCACGAGGCGGCAAACGAAAGAACGCGACGAAACGCTTCAGCTGAGTGCTTTAAAGTTGAATTTTGAGGTCACAGGTCGGGTCAAGGTCAGGTCAACCACCTAAAATCAGGCTTTCAGTAGCATGGATTTCAGGACTTCGCAATGGGCGCCTCTCGTCATAAACTTTGTCAAAACGGTGCACAATCCTTCATATAAGGCCTACAAGAGTGTCAGCTCCATGTAGGGGTCAGTCAAGCATATGTCAGGGTCAAGGTCAGGTCAACCGGGTAGGCACATATCCCCGGAAATCAAAACTGATATTCGCAGCCTGTGGCACATGTTTTATGGGTAATTTGGGGCGTAGAACACGATGGTGACATTCATTTTATCGTATATGTACGTGTTTGGTTCAAAAAGTTCAATTTAAGAAATGGATGTATCATGGTCGGGAAGTAACGAGAAGTAACGGTTAGTCACGAGAAATTGCCAAGATTCAGTTCAAGATTTTGGAAAATGCAGAACAATAATCAATAAATCGAAGATATCCATTTGGTTGTTCATGGTATTGGCAGTCTAACGGCGTTTACGGCATGTCTGTATGTCTATTCTGTGATTTTTTATGATTTTTGAACATGTGCCGTTTTTGGTCGAAAACTCAGAAATCATGACGTCACTAAAACCTCAATATCTTCAATCAATTCCCTACGGGTACCCAAATTTTGGCGCGCCGCTAATGGCGCGGCGATATGACACAATGAACCAGAAAATGGCACCTGTAACTCCTCCAGCCTCCTTATAGGTATCCCTGAGGTCATCTTAGGTCACCAAGAGTATCGAACAGTTTTTCGCTGAGAACTTTGGATAGAGGCACGCTATAGCGATGAAAACACCTTAGATGTGTTCATATTGACGATACAGAGCGACTGATATGCAACACGACCTTTCTGGTCAGGTTCGGACCTTAATCTGAGGTCAAAATTTCAAGGTGACTAATTAAGGTCAAACCATAGTTCATTCGATGCGTCTTGACGAGAGGAATACGATGCCTGTAAAGGTAACCTCGTGCAAGGTTTGGGTCAAAAGTTATAGAAAAACTGTTTCCGAAAAATCGGCTATTTTGGCAGTTTTTGTCCCCTGCCGGCGGAACCGTTGACGTTAGATCAAATCTGAGAGAATTACTCAGAAAGGGCGTTAATATGGCTATTGAACCCGCTTTTCAGTGGCGCTGTAGCTCTATTGGTTCCAGAGTTATGCGTTGGCTTCTTGGATATTGTCGACATTTGACCTGAAAATCGGCGAAATTTTGCCTTCAATGACCTCTAGTGATCTGACCTTTGACCTGACCAAAAAGTGACCGAAGAGCTTTCGTCATTACTTTTGGCGCTCTCTCGAACGCCGCCGTCTGCGTATCGCTACGTGGCCCAGGAGCGAGTTAGAAGGGGGTAATCATTGTTCAATGACCCCCCCCCCCCCCAGCAGGGCGTGGAAATCCAGGACCCCAGTCGGGCGCGGGCTCATAGGGCTAGCAAATGCGCTATTGTGCGGCGCTGTAGCTTTATTCATATCCAAGCTATGCGCCGATTTGTTAAAATAGTCGAGCTCAGCCTTTGCCCCGTTGGGGGGGGTCAGTGACTTATTCTGACCTAACCTTGACCTGAAATATGCCAAGTAGTAGCTCGGTAGCCACACTCCATAGGGTATCTTCAGCACAATTTTATGGGGGTGTACATACTGTGTACCTATATCAAATGAGCCAGGACTTGTTAAGCGCCTTTAGCGGCGGCGTAGAGCCCCAAAACTGTGGACCTGAGCATTCCAAAACATATATAGCTTTAACGTTGATCTGATCTGTGACGCCATCGGTGACCACAGGCAATGAATTTGTTTCCTCCTAGCCGATTCTCGGTCAATTCTTAAGCAAACTGAGGTTCTATGGTACTTACATAACTAATCGCTGATACAAACATGCAGTTTTCATGGAACACGCTCCTTACCCTGAACAGCGATTATGCGGATAAAAATCGTCGAATAACTTATTTGGCCTCCTCCAAATATAGACATCGAAATTGTATTAGAACTGCATTTCACTTAACCCTCGCCCGTATTGGTGTTTTTCCAGCCGCGAACGTATAAGGGGGGGGGGGGGGTCCGTTGGACCCCCTTGCCGTTTCGCCTCTGATCGAGCTAGAGCTTCGCGAAAAAAACGAGCGTGTTGCTCGTGACGAGAGGAAGCCAATGATACCCAATTTTAAGGTCCTAGGTCATCGGTTGACCTTCCAGGTCAGGTCAATGACCCAAAAGTCGGGAAAATCGGGACCTGCTAGAAAGTCGTAAAGCGTGGCTGCTATGGATTTTTTCGTGGTGCTGATCACGAATATCATGTTAGTTTTGATCACAGATGATGTCTTCATACATTTAGGCCAGGTCGGGTCAGGTCAGGTCAGGTCAACCAGTAAAGGTATTCGTAGTAGGTGGCAACCGCCTCTGACAGCTTCGTAACATGTTACGAAGGCACCAAAACTGCTTCGTAAATGTTCAAATGGCTGCTAGATTCGAATTCAGCTAAAAAACTGGCCTAAGAAACATGTAAAACTCGAAAAAGTGAACCGAGGTCACCAAAGGTCAATGACCTGACCTGACCTTCAGGTGACCTTGACACCCACCCTCATGCATGGGAGCAACATCATCTCCCATGTTTGAACGCTTAAAATCACGAAAAGACTGCAAACGCGCTGCTAATGCGAGCCGACATACGCCGAATCGCGATTCCGGCCAAACATGGTCTCGAAAAGTAGGTCACAGGTCAAAGGTCATTAGGGTCAGGGTCATGAAAATTTCAGGGTAGGTGTAAAATTGATTAACGCGAGGGTACTGAAAGTTTCGTCGCGATCGGCCGCTTTTTACGCGAGTTATTCGCGAAAAACCGAGGGGGGGGGGGTCCGTTCGACCCCCCCCCCCTATACGGGCGAGGGTTAACATTCACTCTCAGACTTGTGAAAACATCTATTTGACAACAAACACAGCATACAGAACAGACACACACACACACACACATTTATAAGCATAAATATAGTGACTCGATGCTCGCAATCACTGACCAGTGCAATAAAGTGCAATGAACGGTGATGACAAATCTGCCAATAATTATCCCTTGGAAATAACAGTGTTTTTGTGTAGCAACTAGCAATGTCAGCCGATGGAACACGAACTCAATTATTTGCGATATTTTACATCACACATTGTTTTTCCAGTAGTTTCGAAGGGCTATAAATAATGATATATATTGATATACAGTTCGCGAACGAACCGATGTCTTGAAGGGTCTTCGATGACACCAGGGTTGAAATGTATCAAAATCACATAAACACCTATGTAGCTGTCGATTCTCCTACTCTTAGTCATCACTTAAAAATACAGCACATCATACTATTGTATCCATTCCCAATTCACTCTTAGCACGTTACGTGATTCCGGAAACTGACGGTTTCCAATATCAGCTCCTTGGGCGACAATGTTCACTCCTCACTGCACTTCGTGACCACTACCTCTGTTTCCAACAGACGGGGACAAGTGCTCTGAGCTGGCCGCTGGTAACATCACGATTGTGTCCATTCGAGTTGCATGGAAGTTGAAGCCTCCCCACTAATGGTCGCTGTGGACCCCAGTGAGGAAGAATTGGTCCATAATCACTTCGCGGCACTATGCTATGCTAGCATACCCTCACTGATCGCTGGTCTTGGTTGCTATTTTCGGTAAGCGAGGACGGTGCATCATCCTTATTTATCAGCTCAGTCCACATCAGCAATATCGCATGGGTAGGTAGCTCGCAGTCTTCCCTTCACGCCCGTTGCATGTTGATGTAACTTCTTATGTCAGTCAACCACCAGTTTCACTAAGGTCCTGCCAGGGGCGCTGCTGTCGATGTATACATGCAGATGGCGCTGCAATCGCGGCTGTTAGCGGCCAGCATTACCCAGTGGCGGGAAGAGCGGCAGTGAGTCGGCAGCCACCTCATTCTGCAGCGGCAGCACGCCGGCGTGAACGTTCCCCTTGTTCTGCGGCAACCTCTGCGGCTGCGGCTGGGGCTTCGGCTGGGACTGGAGCTGGGGCTGGGGCTGAGGAGGTCGCTGGGGCTGGGGCTTCGGCTGGGGCTGGGGAGGTCGCTGGGGCTGGGGCTGGGGCTGGGGTCGCTGCTGCTGAGGCCGAGGCTGAGGGGGCCTCTGGGGCTGGGGCTGGGGAGGCCTCTGGGGCTGAGGAGGTCTCTGGGGTTGCGGCTGAGGCCGCTGCTGTTGGGGACGCTGAGGAGGTCGCTGCTGAGGTGGCTGAGGGGGCCTCTGCTGCTGCTGGGGCCGAGGCTGAGGGGGACGCTGCTGAGGGGGCTGAGGAGGCCTCTGCTGCTGCTGCTGGACTTGGACCACCTGAAAACGGCAAAGACGTCCGAGTTACATGTCAGATGATAAACGCATATATACATAAGCAGATATCTGTAATTGAAACGGCATTACATACTACATGAAAGTTGGCATATAGAAAGTTATTTTAAAAGCGAAACACATCACTCGCAGACCTCGAAACAAGAGGCTTTAATTCACGTATTCGCTTATGTTATACAGTGTCATAAACAATAAACATGCCCCAGCCCATCCAACCGTCTGAGTTCGGTGCGGCCATGGATAACTAACATGGTATACGGCTGTCTGCTAAGTAATCCATGGTACGGCCGTCTGCCGGCGCGGCGAACTGACCTGAGGCGGCGCGGGGCGGACCGGCGCCGCAATCACCGGACGAGCCGCAGCCGGCCGCCGCGGCGGACTCTGCACAAACGTCTGCGGGCTCTGACCTCCACCGTTGTTGTTGTTATTGTTGTTGTTGTTGTTGTTGTTGAAGAGCAGCCTGCCAGGCCGCTGCGGCAGGACGATTCCGGCCGGCCGGAGAGGAATGTTGACGGGGCGAGGCACCGGCCGGCCACGACCAGAGTTGACCTGGGGTCACGAACAGATCACATAGGTCAGAAGTGTATTGCAATGTACATGATGATAAATATGGCGTCTAAAGGTAAGCTAATGTTCAGGAGAACGGGAAGCGCTCATGTCACACAAAATTCCCACTCTGGTTCAGCACGTCCCACTTCCGTTCAGTAACCTACATGTCCCGGTGATATCCCAATCATGTCCCACTGACCTCCCAACCAAGTCCCAATAAAAGCCCACTCCGGTCCCACTCCAGCTCCGCCTGGATCCCAGACACAGACCACAGTTGGCCCACCCGGTCCTTCCCTGCTGCCCCGCGCTATAACTGACCTGCAGTTGCCGGTTGACCCCGGGCGATGGGCCGCTGTTCGATGATGATATGGGCCGGAATCCTCCAAACATGATGATTGGAGGTGTGGGCAGACCATCCTGAGGGGCAGCTGTCACCGCCAAAGCGGCCAACGCTGCTGTCAGCAGCACCTGTGGCAGAGATCATCCGGGGGTCAGTCGGGTCCAACAGCGCGGCGGTCAGACGGGGGCATAAGACAAATAAAGTTAATAAAAGTGAAAAAACAGAGAAACAGAGAGAGAGGAGGAGAGGGAACATGGAGAGGAGAGAGAGGGAGAGAGAAAGAGAGAGAGAGAGAGAGAGAGAGAGAGAGAGAGAGAGAGAGAGAGAGAGAGAGAGAGAGAGAGAGAGAGAGAGAGAGAGAGAGAGAGAGAGAGAGAGAGAGAGAGAGAGAGTTAATCAAAATACAGCCAAGGCTGTAGCTGAAACAATGCATTGCCGCGCCCCATCATAAATGAGGGCCTCAGTCTGCATTCTGAGAGTGAGAGAGGGAGAGAGAGAGAGAGAGCTACAAGGTCTGTAGCGCCTGCTGATCCTTTCATATGCAAAAGTCCTTTCAAAATATAAAGGCGTGTAACGGGAAACGACGTCAGTGGCATCTGCTTCCTTATCACACACTGGCAAAGAAACGGAGCCAGCGGTGGAGCACGGCGTACGACCTCCAGCAACATTGTAAACATCAACATTACAACTGAAAGGCTGTCGTCACGCCAGCCAAAATCCAGGCTGCATTTCGTTGATGCATTATCACAAGTAGAGATGTCAATCGGATACCAACTTTTTGGTATACCGATACCAAACCGATACCAACTTGGTATTTGGTATTTCAATCCTAATGTGTTTGGTATTTTGTTGGTATTATGAACCCTTACTAATGTAAAAGAGGCTAGGAAATTGGTAAAAAGTTGGTATTTCCCTCATCTTTCAAAGTTGGTTCGGTTTCGGTATTTCCCCCCCCCCCCCGGTTTTGGTTGGTATTTGGTTTGGTATCGGTATTCCGATTTTCTGTAATTGACATCACTAATCACAAGCACTACTGATTTCTCTCGCTAACATTCAGTTTTCCACCACGAGGCAATTTTTTTCTATTGTAACATTCTTCTTTCTTAGTTCAACAATGTGAGTCTGTGACCGTTGTTTTTGGTTTTCCTTGACATAAGTTTACTTTTTTCTAATAATTGCGTCGTTAATTCTGATTCTCCCTCTGCTAACAATTGTTCATCTCAAGTGTTGTCTCGTCGCCAAGATCGGCCGACCGTTCTGCTGCGTGGAAAAGTCCATACTGTTCCAAATCCTATTTTAAAAAATCCTCACCTATTTCAAATCCTCCCAAATGATCCCTCATCTGTCCTTCCCGTCTCCCAGGTCATGTTCTTCCCTCTGTCTCCCTCGTCTGTTCTTTCCGTCCTTCCCTTCTGTCCCTCCAATCTGCCCTCCCCTCTGTCCCTCCAGATCCTCTCCCTCCCCTCTGTCCCGGTCACCCAGTTCCTGCTGACCCTGACAGCTCGGACCGACCATGGGATGGACCGGTCGGCAGCTGGATCGAGCCTGCAGCTGACACCCGACTCTGATACACGGAGAGGTGCTACTGATGCCCCGGGGTCATTGGTGACCTCGGACTGAACGATTGGCACCCTGGAGTTGCCGGCAGGGGGGCGAATCACCAATGGGACCGGTCGGGGACGCGTGTGTCACCGCTCGGCGTCAGGCGCAGCATAGTTGGTGGATAGTTCGAAACGGTGAAAATTCAAATGCACGCATCTTCCAATGAGATCCAGTGCCTATAGAGACTGTGAGTGAACGCTGTACCGTAGACAAGCGTTGCTGAGGGCTCAAACCTATATTCTGTTCAATAAGCTGAATTGGGGAGGGGGTGCTTATGTGAGATTAACATTCACGTGCCATTCACGTTGGCGTACATACCTTCAGGGCGTCAATTTGCAAGCATAAATAGGTAACAGAATGGATAAGACTTCGTTTTCAGATGGGGCACCGGCAGTCGCTATTAGAACTCCACTCCTTCAGAGAGTTAGTCTCCCGAATGGTGCTACTCTTCTAACTGTAGCCTAGCAGTCTCCGCCGCGGTGAGGTTACCGTTCTGTGCAGAGTTGGTGTCTGTAGTGGTGCTACTGTTCTATGTACAGTTGCAGTTTCCGCGGTGAGGTTACCGTTCTGTGCAGAGTTGGTGTCTGTAGTGGTGCTACTGTTCTACGCAAAGTTGCAGCCTCCGAAATGATTCCATTATATGTAAAACTACTGTCTCCATGGTAGTGCTTCTGTCCTGTATAGAGTTGCAGTTTCCGTAGTGGTGCTACTGTTCTATGTACCATTGCAGTCCCTGTAGTGGTGCTACTGTTCTATGTAGAGTTGCAGTCTCCGTGTTGGTACTTCTGTACTATGCAGAGTTGCAGGCTCCGTGACATTGCTACTCGTACCTATAGTTGCAGTCCTCGTGGGTATGCATTGGTATGTATAACTAGGGCTGTGGTCTCTGTAGTGGTGCTACTGTCCTATGTAAAGTCGCAGTCTCCATAATGGTCACCGTGATGGTGCTACTGTCCTATGTAAAGTCGCAGTCTCCATAATGGTCACCGTGATGGTGCTACTGTCCTATGTAAAGTCGCAGTCTCCATAATGGTCACCGTGATGGTGCTACTGTCCTATGTAAAGTCGCAGTCTCCATAATGGTCACCGTGATGGTGCTACTGTCCTATGTAAAGTCGCAGTCTCCATAATGGTCACCGTGCTGGTGCTACTGTACTATGCAGAGTTGCAGTCTCCGTGACATTGCTACTGTCCTATGTATATTTGCAGCCTTCGTAATGTTATTGTTCTGTATAGGGCTGCGGTCTCTGGTGGTGGTGTTACTGTCCTATGTAAAGTCGCAGTCTCCGTGCTGGTGCTACTGTTCTATGTAGAGTTGGAATCTCTTTGGTGTTGCTGCTGTTCTAGGTAAAGTTGTAGTCTCCGAGGTGATGCTTTTTTTCTTATGCAGAGTTTCAGTTTTTTTTTGTGTGTGTTATTTTATCGGTCCCTCTTGCATAAGGAATTGTGTTGTATAATTGCACCCTGCTGTGCAAGTCGGGATGGCTCAGTATTTCACACACTGTACAGGGTGTCCCGAAAGTTTTGCAACATCCGTTTTCCCGTATGTTTTGTCTCTACCGCTAATATCAACGTTCCACTGGCAACCTTTAGCTTGTCCCGGGTAGACGGCGCGACTGCCCACCCGACCCAGCGGCGGTTATTGCCGCGGGGCACGGCTGACCCGTCTGGGGCGGCCGCCGTCTGACCTTAGGTCAGTCGCAGACATGAAGGTGGCCGGACGGGTAACGCGCAGAGAGGCGGTGCGCTCCCGCGCGATCGGGTTGCTGGAAGGTGGCGTGGCGCAGGGGGTTGTCGCAGAGAAGCTGGGCGTCGATCGGACCACTGTCTACCGGTGGTAGAAACGTTTTCGCGACGGCAAACCGTTAGCCGACAAGAAACGTTCAGGCCGGCCGCGTGCCGTGTCCAACGTCGCCAGAATCGTCTGTGCCAAAGCTGCTGGCAAGCGTGGCCAAAGCGTCAGGAAATTGGCCACGCGGCTGACGCGAAAGGGTTACCCGGTGTCAAAGTCGGGTGTCCATCGGTTCATGACCCAGTCGAAGCATTTCCGGTCGTACAAAAGATCAAAACAGCCGAAAATGACAAGAAAACAGAAGCTTGCAAGATTGGAATTTTGCAAGAGGGTAAAAAATTGGGGCTTCGATGAGTTCAAGAACGTCATCTGGTCCGACGAGTCCATCTTCGAAATCCAGCACACGCCAAATCGGCAAAACGATCGAGTCTGGGCGAAATCTCGCGACGAAGTGCCCCCGGTTGAAACCATCAAGCACCCCGCGAAACTCATGGTGTGGGGCGGAATGACCGCACAGGGCCTGACTGAACTTCACGTGGTGCCAAAAAACCAGACTGTCAACACCGCATACTACGTGTCCGAGATTCTGGAGGGCTCACTTCTGCCGGTGGTCAACCGTAAGAGCAGCAATGGCGGTGTCACGGAGAAGAAAATCGTCGACCGGAGGTCAGAAGGAATTTTTATGCAAGATGGCGCACTAGCACACACCGCAAAGCGGACACAAGAATGGTGTGCGGAACACCTCCCAGGGTTTTGGGGTAAAGGGGAGTGGCCTGGCAACTCCCCCGACCTAAACCCGATAGAGAATGTGTGGGCAATCATGAAGGAGAGCCTCGGCCAGCAGGAGCCCGCCACCAACCTGGGTCAGCTCGAGCGCCGGCTGAAGAAGGCCTGGAGAGACATCTCCGCGGACACACTGCGCTGCCTGGTGGCCAGCATGCCATCACGTGTCCAGAAGTGTGCCCGGCTTCGCGGTGACTATGTTGGTTGTTAAATAAAGCGGAAAGGACAACTCTGAAGTGTTTAATTTACAACGTTAAGGATGTTGCAAAACTTTCGGGACACCCTGTACTCGTATTGCCTTGAGGAAAGGACCAGGAATGAACGAACGATATCACCTTAGCAGGAACTAAGAAACTGGGTGAAACGCCTCGTATCAATTCAAAGACTAGCGCTGATAACAGCGTGATAACCATATGCGTAGCAGCAAGCAGTGAAATAGTGCATCGATATTATAGAAGGAGTCTGCCATCCAGAGACCTCTGTAGGCAGATACCTACGCCAGGTCCTATTACCGTTGACATATTGGGCGACCAGGTGAAATTCTAACCCTACACCAGCAGCTTGATCGTGGAGGTGAAGACTGTAGAGAGTGGTCTTTTTCTACCACTCATACCCCACCCCCTCCCCCTTCACCTCTTCACAGCTGACACATTCAATTGTTTCAGCTCTACCGCCCACCTGTGACGCCACAGACCGGATACGCACAGAGTGTGGTGATCTCACTTTTGATGAACTATTACCGCACTGATGGCCGCTGCCGCTGACGGATATTGTCGAATTGGTGCTATTAGTTGAAGGTGAGAAATGATGAGGGGTCCGACACACTGTGTGCCATGAGTAGAAGGGCAGATGCATATAAATAATAGTCAATGCCGGATGAGAATGCACAGTAATTCATTCATCGGACCCCGTATACATACATGAGGTTCAGTTGGATTCATTCTTTCTGGT